ATGTCTTTAATACTCGTGTTTTTTGTAAGGTGTTTTTCTCCTTGAACATTTCAGTTTCACAATAGACGTTTATACACTATTCGATAGAGAATTTCAAGAGCTACATTTTGCACTATTTGTATTTCAAGATAAAGTAACCTGAACGACTCGAAACACGTTTCTTATAGGTTTTCGACAATGCTCTTTCCAGTGGCATCGTTTTTAAATATTGAGAAAGTTTTCTGAAGGGTTTTACAGAGACCGGATCTCTGAAAAACTCAGTGGAAAACTTTTTCAAAACCCAGCTCTCATGGCATTAGAAAGAGGATCATGAAAAACCTATAAAAAAATGGTTCATGAAATTTTAGTTCACTCATAAAGCTAAAGTCCGCTTGCTCTAGCTAAAAATGCCCACTGTGTGTGGTATAGGAAGAAACTGAGAATAGTTCGTCATAGGTTATCGACTATGGCGAATCAAATGAACATATGTAGAAATACGTGCGGGATACTTTTCTAATGGCTGCAATTTGCAAAAAATTCATTTTTTCTGATTTTGAGTGTTTCAGAAAGATCTTTGTAAAACCCTCAAAAACCATCGTAAAACCAACAAACCATAGTACATTCGAAAGTAGACAGTTAGGGCTATCTAACTAAGTATAATTCTCAAAATCGGTATTTTTGACCAAAATTACCATTTTTTGACAGGGGTGAGCCTTAAAAAGAACAACAACTAAGTCACTTTATTTTTACTTCTCTCGCTGCATCAATATCTTTTTCCGTTGCTTCAGACGTAATCAACTGTTCTTGAACAGTTTTTGCTGTTTGTTTTGATATTTCTAATGTGGATAATAATTCATCATTTTCTAATAAAGATCCTTTTGTTTCATTCAATAATCTAAGAAAAAGAATAAAATTTTTAAAATAAAAAATTTTTTTCAGACATTTTTTTATTAAAAACCTTAATAATTGATCTTCTAATTCGATTAATTTTTTTCGTCCAGCTGCTATACCACGTACAAGTTTATCTTTATCTGCTTCTAATTCAGGTTTTTCTTCTCGAACAACAATACCTAACAATTGTGACTCAAGACCTAAATGAAATAATTTTTAATAAAATAATTCAATAAATGGCAACTATTCATTATTACCTTGTTCTTTAACAGCAAAATTAATAATATTTGCTTTTGATGATACTTCTGGTGCATAATGAGGATTTGGTAATTTTGTTGTCATATAAAATCGAAAATTTTTATCATATTCTACTTCACGATCGCCTAATTTAATAATATCAACACCACCTAAATGATATATATAAAATATTTGTTAAAAATTGATAAAAGAGTTAATAATAATTTTTAATTCATATTTATACCAATTTTTTTAACAGCTCGAGTGAGAACAGGATCGAGTGCCGGATCTAATTCTTCTTTTACATTTTGACATAGACAAGGTTTTCCACTACGAATACATTCTTCAATAATACGTAAATAATCAGATATTTGTAAATCAATTACACGTAAATTATTTTGCATTTCCATATTTTTAATCCATTTAATAGCTATAACATAATGAATATTGTGTTCATTTTCTACAAAAGAATAAATGATAATATTATGAAATACCTTGTGCTTGAGGATCAATCATCAAAGACCATCTTGTTGAACGATTAACAATAACACCATTTTCTGTTGAAAATGTATCTGACGGTAATCCTTGAATATTCCAATCACGAACTTGTGTGGGAATTGATAGAAAACTGGCAAAATTAAATGCTGGATTGCATGGTATTTGAAATTTACGAACCTAAACTTATTGATCATTTTTATTCTATTCTTTTCCTTTTTTTTAGAAAATTATTTTACCTCTTTTAGCCAAATATTATTCATCATATGATCTCGATATTGTGATAAAAATGGTCCCATATAGGACAGAAAAGCTGCTGCTAATAAACAATCACCAGTTACATAACTAATTTGTAATTCTAAATCCGCTACTGTTTGTTCCCAACGAACTTTTTCACCAGCTAGACCATTTATTAATCTTGACGCTTTTTCTAACATCATTTGCATATGTTCACAATCTTTTCGTAATTGTTCTTTTTCAGCCATTTGTTTTTCATAATTTGCACGTAATTCATCTAAACGTTTTTGTGCTTCTTGAATTTGTCTTTCAGCATCAGCAATTTGTGCTCGTTTTTCATTTAATTCAGCCATTGCAGCATCATAACGATCTAATAAAAAATATTTAAATATATATATATATATATAGTTGAACAAGATAAATATAAATTTACCTCGTTTTGGTTTAACAGTTTTAAAAATTTTTGCATACTCTTCCATGGCACGAACCCACATAAATAAGCCAGCAGCGGCTGTTGATACACGATCTATAAAACAAAAAATATTTTTGTTAATTTTAATATAAATTTTTAGAATATTTAATTTTAAAACTCACTTAATTCACTGATAGATAACATTGGATCCGATGTATATTTGCTCACTTTCATTATAACTTTGTCTGGAATATTATCCTTATCAAACTGAACGAGTTGAGTAATAAAGTTTGGTTCACCTATTTAAAATGAAAATATGTTAAATGTTTTAAAGAACATTTTCGGATATACATACCTAATTGTCGTTTAGCTTCGGCCCATGATGGTTCAGAATTTCGTAGTATCATCACAGCTTCTAATGCTAAAAATACACACACAAAAATTATTATCATGTAAACACTTTTAACAGGCCTACTCACCTTTTTCAACCGGAACAGGCGGACGTCCATACGTTTTTACTTCTGTTATTGACGCTTTTGATAATGAACTTAAAGCCTTAAAATATTTATAAGACAGATATATCATAACATAGACTACGACATTACATCGATGAACAAACCTGATTAGCAGCTTCAAGAGCAGGCATGGCTGCTGTTAAATCTTCTTGAGCTGCTTGTGCAATTGTTGATGCTTTTTCTTCATCAATTTTGACACGTTCTTTTAGTTTTTCGACCGTCTATTAAATGTAAACAACTTTTTTAAGTTTTTTTTTTATTTTTTTAATAAAAATAAAATATTAATATTTTTAATTTACTTACAGCTTTACTTTGTTCAACTTCTCGTTGTTCATTTACTAAACTTCCTAATGATTCTTCACATTTCTTTTGACTTTCATTAACCAATGCTTTTTTCTTTTCTAAATCAACACTCATTTGTGTCACTTGAATTTTGGCTTCTTCAATTTTTCCAAGACCATTTTTTAATTTATCAGCTGCATCACATAATTCTTTACGTTTTTCATATAATAGTCTAAAAATAGACCATATTAATTAATTAATTAAATTTAAATAAACAAGATAAAAAATCGATATATACTTTCTATAACCGGTTGTTAACTCAAGAAAATTACTGGGTGTTACATAGTTTCTACGACGCATTTCATCCCACATTTGTATTGAACATTGATATACTGAACTATGTACAGTGGCAAATACTTGAGCAATTGAAGAACGATGCTAGAATAGAAAAACATAAAAATTGTTTTTATCATCAAGTCCATTTCATTTGAAACATAAAATTAACACACACACACACAGACACACAAATAAATGACGAGAACAACAATAATGCTACTGTGAAAAGGAAGTCAAAATGAGTGAATTTTCATTTGAATTTTTCTTATATGATCTCTCTATTCAATATTGAAAAGTGTACATGTGTATGGGAACAATTGAACAAATTATTATTTTTTTTAATTGATTGTCTTCGAGACTTTGTGCACAAATGACAACACGTAAACATACACACTCATAACTAATAAACGTTATAATTCTTTCTGATTCAATTTGAATTATATAATATGGTGAGAACAATTTAGAACCTACCTGTTCAAACTATAAAATAAAAGTAAAAAAATGTTCATTTATTTTTATACACAAAAATTAGATAATAATGAGTATTGACATTTGATTTAATGCAGTAATTTAGAAAGATGTTTACTTCTATTTTGTTCGTTTTAACTTACCTTTTCATCACCTTCTAATTTAATTTGTCCAAGATATCGTTCACCCACTTCCAATAAAGCATCATGTGGCCAATCAGCAAATAAATCAATTGTTGTACAATTAACCAACGATGGATACATACGTATACGATTTCTAAATAAAAATGATTATGTTATTGTTGATAATAGAAAAAATGATATTTTACTCTCTTACCGAAATACTTCACCAACAGGACTCATACACACCACCATATGTAAATTAGCTTTAACACGATCCAATAAAAATGCATATACTTCTTGATTCTTTTCTTCATCAACTCCCGCTTTTTTCAATTCACTGGCCATATTCGTTTTAATCTAAATTAGAAAAATAAATAAAAATAAAAAAAAATTATAAATTAACTCTAAATGTGTGTCTCTATATATCGAAAGATGTTCTATTATTTACTTCTTCTAATTCATCTGTTTTAAATAAATTTGGTACTTCACCACTACTCAATATATTATTAATATCTTCAAAGAATGTTTCCTCTACGGCTTGTGTATCAACAAATATAAATGTTGTTTCACGATTTGATACTCCAGCTTGTTTATATAAACGTTTTAAATCTTCTCGAAATTCATTTCGTTTATAATTTCTTGCAATTTCAATTTTGAAAACATCATACATACAAATAAATGATGCTAATTTAGCCAATGATTGTCGACCACTACCACCAATACCTATTAATAACATATTTCCTCTTGGTTGTCTAATAACACGAACAATTCGAGTTATATGTAGAATAGCATCACGAAATAAGACTAAATCCATGGGTATTGTGCCTGGAGTTTCATTATAATCACGTAATACTTTTTCCATATGTAATTTTAATTTATCAAAATCAATTAAATCTTCATAAATTTCATCTGGATTAACAAAATCACCGAAAACAGGTGGAATTTTATTTTGACAAATACTATGAAATGTTATGTCAAGATGTGTGCCCAATTTTTCCGATAAAATACTGACAAATTGTTCACGATCTTTATCTTCATTTAAACGATCAGCAAATACTCTAAAAAGATGAGATCAAGATCGTAATTAGTAGGGGAAAAAAAGCAAAAAGCAAAAAACAAATCACTGACGATACCTGAAACATTCGTGAATCCATAGACGAATCATTGATGCTTTAGAAGTAATCATTTTTTTATCAGCACGTAATAAACCTTGAAATATTCGTGATATATCACGTAAATTGAATAAATAGTATATCTTAGTAGGAGTGGGAAGAAATCTTTGTACAACTGTTTCATATATTTCAATTGTTGCTGATGTTAATGCATCTGGTAAATTTTTAAATTCATCATCGAAATCAGCTAGACGTTGGGAGATCATTGAACCAAATATTCGTCGAATTTCAGATGCCTAAATAAAAATAATAATAAATTTGACTATTAAATTATTTATAAATTAATAATCTAACCGATGGAAATGTCATATTAATCAGATTAAATCGACTCTGTAAACGTTGTGAGATAACTGTTCTACCACCACCCGGAGGACCCATACCAGCTAAAAGAAGCATGTCCTAAAACAAAAAAAGTACAATATATTATTAAAAATATCTTAGAGTATGAGAATGTAAATATTGACTTACTTTAATTTGTTTAACTGATTGATTTTTTCGATCGTACCAAAAGCCAAAATCTAACCATAATCTCAATAGTTCTAACGGTGGTTGTGATCCATATTCATCTTTTGCTGGCATATTAAAATCATCCATAAAATTTAATAATTTTTTTCCTCCAATAGGTGCATAAACACCTTTAACACGTTTTTCTACTCGAGCTTCAATTATCTCTTGTACCATATTTGATGGTGTTTGGGCTGACATATTGATAATTAATGTTGAATATTCACGAGCATCTAACTCAGACATTACGGCATGAGCAACCGATGTTTTACCCGTACCAACAGGACCACATAATAAAACTGGTCGTTGACTTTTAATTAATGCTGCCACTAAAAATTTATATCGTATTGTATCAATTGTTGGTACAATTATTTTATAAAATGGTATTTCTGGATTATATTTCCATCCTTGACGTAATTTTTCTTCCCAAGATAACCATGCACGTTGTTTAACATCAACATAATACTCGAAGACAGAATCTTTATTTGGAAATGTGCCTAAAAAAAAAGAATTTATCATCTTAGAACAATTTCTTGATAAACTAATATAAGTAAAAACCAAAAAAAATATTTATAAAATAGAATAATTTTATCTTTACCTTCAATTTCTCGTATATACGAATCAATTTTTTTTCTCCCATCTTCATCGACAGATGCACATACAGACCATATAACACTGAATAAATACCATAAATCAGTAAGTCGTGAAAAATTATCTTCATCAAGTGGATCAACACCATTTTCTTTTGTTGCAAATACATCAAAAAGATATGTACACGATTTTACACCATTTAATTCTGCTATTGGAATTAATTCTTTACAATTTGCTTGTTTATATTTCAATATAGGTTTTAAATATTTATCTGTCAATGATGTTAATGCTTCATGATATTCTTTTGGTTTTGAGCCTATCCAACAGTCAATAAATGGTTTCCAACCAAGATTTTCATAGTCACAATAGACAATACCACAACCTATTGAATAAAAAATTGAATAAATTTTTGTTTAAGAATATGTTTATAATAATAAACGATAATTTACGTGATACAGTTGCTGGAGAAGCTACGGCCATATCTCCTGTTTCGAATAATAGTGTTACTTGTTCTGGCATAGCAATACGTTCACCATTTGTTAATGTTAAAATTTTATTATCATCCATTACAGAGTTCATACTTTCAATCCAAACGGCGTCAACCTATCAACAATAAATAATAACAATGTTTTAATAGTCAGATATTGTAGAAAAATAAAATAAAACGTACTGGACAATCAAAATAGATCCATTTTTGATCAGGTTTATCATCTAAAATAAAAAATACAAATGTCAAATAAATAGACAAATATTAAAATAACATTTTAATTAAAAATTTTTATAATAGAAATAAAAATAGTTGATAGAAAATTAAAATAAATTTCAATTAATTTTATATAAAAAAAAAATACCTGCACATGCTGTTCTCATAATATTTGACAATACACCATCATTCCATTCTCCCGTTGACAAATCTGATGAACCATATAATTCGGATATGGAAATTGCTTTTGCATTAATAGGATATTCTTGTACTTTTTGATAATTTGTATCAGATGGATCTTGTGTTGCTAGAAGAGTCATGGCACGTTTCAACGTTTTCCATACGGCTGTTTTTCCTGATTGTGTACAACCAACAAGTACAACAGAATGTCGAGAATTTTTTGTTTCATACAATTGAATGGCTTTTGTTACAGTATAAGGTGTAATTTTTAATTGTTGAGCTTGTAATTCATGTTCAATTGCAGTTTTAAACTAAAAAAGGGTAGTCAAGTTTTTTTGTGTGTTAAAATTAAAAGAAAACGATATCATATTTATTTTACACATTACCTTTGTATAATCAATTTGTGGAGTATCAATATCGGGAAATAGATCACTGACAATACCGTTAAATAGTGGTAGATCAGGTCCAGTCATTTTTGGAACGTTCATATCTTTCATAGCCAATATCACTACTTGATCATCTTTCAAATGTGGACTATCACGTTTCTTTTTTCCAGCATAACGCAAAACTGCTGCCATAGAACGTAATCCAAAGTCATAAAAGTCTAAATTAAAATCATTACAAAAATAGTGTGTCTATTTTTTCAAATGGTCTCTCTTATATGAATTACCTTGTTTAGATAATTGTTGGGCACATAATTGATATAATGTATAGACTTTTGTCGCTAATAGTCTTGTATCAGAAAAGCCTTCACCAAATAGAATAATTTCTGCTATGTAATTTGAATCAGGTACTACCATTGATATTGGTCGAAACATTGATTTTAGATTATCGGGTAATTCTGTACGTCCAGCATAGCCAGGATTCATTGCTTTAAAAAGAAAACAGAACAAAAAAAAATTGAAATATTGACTTTGATTGTTTATTTACAAAAAGCTAAACTTACTGATAAATAGACCACAACTCCACACTAAATCAATATCTTGTCCTTGAAATGTAAATTTTTTTGTTAACCAACGTTTATCAACAGTGGCAAACGCATCTTCTGTACTCATATTATTATTGACTTTTATATTTATAGCATTTTCAATATCGCCTTTAAGACCTGTTAATGCATTTAAAATTGATGTTATTTGTTGTGCAACAACAGATAATACTTCAACATTAATACGATTAAATTCATCAAAACATCCCCATGCACCCGTTTGACAATAACCACTAAACATACGACCCATACTTTTATAATCAAGTGTATCAGAACAATTTGTTACAATAACATAAAATGCTAATGCTTTTCCTAAATCTTTGACTGTTTCAGTTTTACCCGTACCTAAATGGAAACATGAAACATACATTAATACATTATTATACTAGTTAAAATTATAGTGATGTATTTATATGTACCAGCAGGACCCTTTGGAGAACCACCTCGACAAAGTGATAAGGCAATTGTTAATGTCATATAACATCTAATAAAATAAAATAAATAATAAAAAATAATTTAATTTAACTATAATAAATTAATTTTTACCTGTCTGTTAATGGTGTAATAACTAATCGTCCTGAATTTCCTAAATATTCACATCCATACCAAAATCGAGCAATAGCTTGTTCAATAATAACTTCATCTTTTCTCCAATAAAATCTTAATTGTTGTTGCCATTCAAATGCTGATTCACTTTTTATATTATGTTTAATTAAATCATTAATAACATCTCTTGCATGAATTTCAATTGTTACCAATGATACTAATTTAATACGTTCTAATTTTGTTAAATTTTTTTTAATCATATCAGTAAAATTTCTTAATACTAAATGTTGTTTTTTACGATCAGTTTTTAATTTTAATATATTTTCTTTTAATGATTTTTGTACTTCTTCTGTCCATTGTATTTGACTAGCTGTTATACACATTTGTCCCGGATGTTGTTTTAACCATTTTTCACGTTTTGTTCCACAATTTAATAGATCATGTCGACAAGCTAATACTTTTCTTTTAACAACTTCTTTCATTTTTATTTCAACATCATGAAGCCATTTTTCAACTTGACCATCAAGTAATACTTGACCATCAAATGGTACAACTTCATCTTCAGCTGAACGCATTTCTGTTGCAGCCATTGGTCCATTATTTGTTGTTTTAACAAGTGTTAAAGTTTTTATATTATCAAATAATTTTTTCATATGTGGCATAACACCGGGTGGATTTTTTGATTGACCAAGAATTTCTAATAGATCATCATTTGATATAAAATAAAATCTTGGAAATTGTCGACGTTTATTTTCTAAATACATTTCCAATGATTTTTGTATTTCTTCTAAATTTGAATTCATATATAATAAATCTTTATCAACATTTTTTAAATGTGTTGCATGAAATGCATTTGGATTTTGATTAAGATTAATCATTGTTGATTTCCATTTATCATTGACTTCATCAAATAATGCTGTTTCTTTTGCTAATTGACGACGTATATCTTCACCATAAAATATATTCTAATAAAAATAAGAAAGAAATAGATGAAAAAAAAAAACATTAAATTTGTATAAATAATATATTTTTTTGTTTTTAAAACTTACTTCAAGATATAACCATTGTCTTTGTACAGCTAACCATAAGTCTGTTACTTCCAATACATGACTAATATCTCTTTCCCATTTATCTACTTCTTTAGAAAATGGTTTAATAAATCGTGATGCTTTAAATGTTGCTAAACTCATTTGATGATCTTCAATTGTCTTGTTTATCTCTTCTGTTGATTTAATTTTAAAATGTCCTATAAATAGAGAATACTGATGATTTTCTTTTGTCCGTAAACTAAGGATCACAAAACAAAAAGTATCTCTCTGTTTATCGCACAGCGAGCAGACCAGACGAACATTTGGTAAAAAATCGAACGTGTACTTTTTCCAAATGCAAATAGTGTCAAATATACTTTGGTTTACGAGCGAGCTCTAGTGAATACAGACCTTTATCTTTAAATGGTATAATTTCAAATTCAACTTTTTCCCATTGTTCTCGAATTTTTTCTATGCCACGTTCAATTTGTGCTTCTTTTTGTGCCGATTCAGATACTTCATTAATTAATTGTGCATTTTCTTCAAAATGCATATCAATAATTGTTTCTAACGTAAATTCATCTGATAATTCATCAAATTCTTTTAATGACTCATCTTTAATTCTTCTCCAATGTCGATCTCTCATATCTTTATTATGTAAATCTTTCATTAACGGCATTGTACGACGAAATTGATCAACTTTATTTTTTGTTACATCAATTATTTCCCAATTTTTTTCACGAAAATCTTTTGATAATTTATGTAATTTTTTATATTGTTGTGTTGCATAATCTTCCATTGTTTGAGTTTGTAAATCACGAAATAATGTTGTTTTCCATTTATCAAATGATTCTGACCATTCGTTTGTCATTGACCAAATACCTTCGAGTGCTTCAATATCTTTTTCTAAATTTTGAATATCTTTTGATAGCGGATGATCAATACGAAATATTCCTAGACCACGACGTAATTCTTGTTCTTCCTCTTTTAATTTTGTTAAACGTGCTTTCATTGCTTCAATTTGATTAAGTGCTTCTTGTGGTGATGTTGTGGCACTAAATGGTCCATTTGTTTTAAAATCTTGAACTAATTCAGAAACACTCTTTTTAAATTCTTCTGATTGTTGTAATAATTTTGATTTGAATTTTTCACGTAATTTTTTCAACATTTCTTCACTATCAGTTAAACATACCAAATAACGTTGCCAACGTTCATCTAATTGAGCTAACATATCACGTGTCTATATTTAATAAACAGATAAAACTACTATAGTTTTTTTGTACATATTAAAAAAAAATGAGTATCAATATTTTCTTACATTATCTGGTACAGGCATTTCATATTTTTCTAATAATGAAAATTGTTCTCGTAATGGTAGAAATTTTCCTTCATAAATCGGTATATTTTGTTGAAGAGTTTCTAATAATTTTTGTTTTGCTTCTAAACCATAATGATTATCAGGTGACATCATAACACTAGACAAATGAAATTAAATGATAAAAGATTTATTGTTATTTTTTTTCTCTCAATCAACTCGTACCTGACACTATTATCTTCGATATAGTTTGTCAACTGTTGTAAACTATTTGTCGCCAATTTGAGTAATAATGCTATAATAAGAAAATAAAATGATAAAATATTTCTCTCTCTCTCTCTCTTTCTATTCTCTTACCGGTTAATTTACTCTGCCATTCAAGACAATGTATTGCTAATGCATTTTTTAATGGTGAACAATCAACTAAGACAAATTGAACTGTTGTTAATGTATCTCGACTTTGAACATTATTAGCCACTTCAGTATAACGATTAATATCAGCATCAAAAAATGAGGCATCTGGATATCGTTCTTCATAACGAGCGATAAATCCTACATTTAAACAAAACAAAAAATATTAGTTTTTATCATTATTTATGACTATAAAATATTTAACATACGTTCTTTATCAACATCCCATAATTCTCGAACACCATTCCATGTTGTTTGATAATCATCTAAATTCTTTTCATTTGTCTCCATACCATTGGCAATTTGAATTTTTAAATGTTGTTTTGTTTCATCTTTATTCATTAAAATATATAATGGCTAAAAATAAACAATAATTAGATTTAAAAAATCCATATATAGATATAATATTAAATTAAATACTTCTTCATTTTGACGAGGTCGTAATCGATGTAAAGGTTTTATTTCTTCGGCTAAATCTCTTTCACCAATATTATTTACAATACCTTTTAATGTGGCCAAATCAGGAAGAAAATTAATCTTAAATTTACATATAGATATAATAAAATATATAAAAATAAAATATAATATTAATAAACTTCTCAACTTACACGTGAAAGTGTTGTATCTCCAACGGTTCTTGGTTCTAAAACAATTTGAATTTTAAATAATGGTCCCGGTACAGTTTTTCCATCTCCAATTATTGCTTTTGATAATTCTGTTAAAGATGCTTTAAAATTATAACGTATTGCACGATCAAGCCATTTATCAAGTTCATCAATGACACGATGCCATTCATGTTGTACCTATAAAGTAATTATGACAAAAACAAATATAGAACAATATAAAATATTAAATTCATTTTTCAAAAAAATTACATCTTGTGGATCTTTGGTAAATAATTGATATGTTCGATCTATTGTTGATAAAATTTCATTAAAATATTCTAATATTTTTTCACCAGCTGCTTTACGATATTGTCTCTAAAAAATAAATATTATTAATACATTAAATGTTCTATAATATCAATATTAATATACCTCATATTCTTCAAATTCTAAAATTTCAAATATACGTCTTGTATCTATTTTAACTAATAATGTTTCACTAATTTTTTTACATAATTTAATACAATTTGTATATGATTCTTTAAAATTATCCACTTGTCGTTGTAATTCACTGGCACTAACACGACAATCTAATGTATACTCATTTGTTGATTTTAACCATGTTATTTTAGTCATACCAGCACTCAATTTTTTATCTAATTGTTTAATTCGTTCTTTAAATAATATTCTTTCATGTGGATCTAATTTATCTAATATTCTATTATAATCTCGAACAATTAACATGACATTTTCTCGACTTGTACGTAATTCACTACGTTTAACAACAATATCTGCTGCATACGTTGGAATATCAAAACCAAGACGTTCCCAATATTTTACTTCTTGAAATAGTTTCAATAGTAGAGGATCAAAATTTGCTTGTAAATAGCCTTCATCATTAACACGTTTAATTAATTGAGTTTCCAATTTTTTAGCTGGATCATTTTCAATATGATAACTCCATTCTTTATATTGTTTAAGTATAAAATCGTCTAATGCTTGTTTAACATGTTCGTATTGTGTACGTGCATCATTACTAACACCAACGGATGGTAAAAAATGTGCCATGTTTAAAAATGACATCATACGTTCAACACGTCGTTTCAAATTACGCGCCCAAAACGCAGCACCAGCATAATGTGGATGGTATCGATCTAAAGATTGAGCAATAGCCGATGTTGATATTATACTTTGAATATTTTGTAAAACATTTTTAAATATGTTATATAATTCGACTGTTTTCTTGTCCAATGTACGACGAATAGCCTTGAGATAAAGAAATATATCTTCTACTATTGATTAGGGAATAGACATATTTTAAACTTACCTCTCTTGAATTTAAATGTGTAAATACATCTAACACTTCGACACCTTGTTCAACCGTTTTAACAGCATCAAATGCAAAAGTAATGACATTCGTCATCATTACTTCTAAATCTTTGACAGCTGAACGAAATCGATTATAATCTTCATGCCATGTTGTCGCTTTTACATTCAAAATTGTATGTTGTACTTTTCGTAATTCTTGTAAATGTTTATCAAATGCTGTTTCAATTTCTGTTAGCATTCTATTAATAGCTGGTCCACGTTGACCACCAAAAATAGGTAATTGTGTTTTGGTTCCTTCTTCCCATCGTGGAAAATGCATTTGACATTCACATAGATCCAATAAATCACGACAACGTTGAATAAATGCTTCAATTTGAGCGAATATTGTCGTTTTATCAAGACGCCAACCTTTGACAGAAAATTTTTCATGTAAACGTTGTGCCTAGGTTAAAAAGATAAAACTTTTTTATTTAAACTTTAGAAGATCGCAAATTATCTTACATTATTATAGACTTCTTGCCATTGCTGACAACATTCGATACATTCATTCAATGTCTTTTGACTAGATAAAATATATCCATCGAAAATTTTATCCAAATTAATGGCAGCTGTACAACGACGAATTACTTCATTACTAAGCTAAAAGGACAAAAAAAGATAAACACATTGATTAAGATATTGATTAATAAATGTTCCTACTTTTCTAAACAATGCTGTCAATAGTTCCGGTCTATTATAAAACTCAGAATTTATCCATATAACTCGTATTAATTGAACAATTTTAGGTAATAATCGTCCAATTTCTGATGGTTTTGCATCGGCCAATTCATGACAAGGATCTTTCAATGCCATTAAAAACGATAAATTATTATCAGCACGCTTTGTATTGGATTGTAGTTGATCGGCTAGTTTTAAAAATTGTGCCAGATATGATGATTTTGCTAATTGTAGAATATGTGTAATTTGTTTGATTGCGGGTTGATCTAATTGTTTACTGATGCCCATCAGATCTTGACTTCGAGCTTTCCAAAACTCAATTTCTTCTAATGGTCCGGAATTTTCATCTACGATAGATGCATCTTGTGAATTCGATACATCTTTTAGTTGTCGAGACCAATGTACCATAGCTGACTCTAGACGTTGTACTAATTCTTTGTCTTTTGCCGCAACTTCTGGTTCAACATCCAAACCTTCTTTTGGTATATATAATTTTGTGATACCCTCCATTCGCCAACGAATATCTGTTAATGTGGCTAAAAATCGATGCAATTGTGCGGAAAAATCGTTTTTAATTGTTTCAGGCCACATTTTATTGCCAAAAAATAATGGAGCGTATAAACCGGACATTAGTCTTAATAGGCTAGAAAAATGTTTTCCACCAAAATTTCCAAATTGAACGTCACTACGAACACGATAAAAATCAATTAGATTCTTTTATTATGTGCAAATTCTAGATTTTTCTAATTTTCTTACCGAACAAACTGTTCTTTTTCAACAATTCTCATAGACTGGTTTTTCATAAAATATAGCAAATGACTAAATGGATTTGTCGGTACACGATACTCGGCTGTTAGCCCCGTGACACGATCAATATAAAAACATAAAAGTCTTAATTCAGGATCACTTAAATATTCCCGAATGATACGATGAATTTCATCTGTCCACATTGATGGTTCCAAACCCGGTAATACGACAAGTTTATGGATATAATCAAACTAAAATGAATTCAACAGTCATTTTATGGTACTATATTAAACGCTTGACTTACAATCGACTCGACTTCCGATTTGACATACGGAGCGTCTTCAAACTCATTCTCATAGTCATCTCTCATTCCGACTGGTGTGTCATAGACGGTTGGTGGAGCTACAATAGCATCTTGAGGAGGTGTTTTCAAACCATTTATTATAGGCAAAACTGGTTTCGGCGAACCCACTGTACTTTTGCGATCATCTACAGGAACTTCGCGGTTGGACGTTTTACTCGCACCAGATCGTGCAGAGCCCGTGCGCGAACTTCGTCGCGAGTTGCTTGCTTGTGATTTAGTGTCGATATCAGGCTCCATTTGTTTTTACTTTAAATGTTATTGTTCTTCATTAAATGATTTGAACTGAGACAAACATCTTCAAATTTCTGGAACAAAACAAACTCATTTCTCGCCATTTTGCCGTTCAGATCTATGACTTGACCTCTACAAAAAATAGTTTTATTCCGTACTATTCGTTAAACCACGCACGGACGACATCTGTCCTTTGCACCCAGATTGTAGAACAATCTTGTAACTTTGAAACAGCAATTACTTAGTATGTACCCTAGTGAAGGTTTTTTCTCAAGCACATGAGCAAGCACATACCTCACGATTTGTCTCCATGCACATGAATTTCTAACGCATGCGCTTGAGTTGCTTGAAGTATGCGCATGAGAGGAGAAATATTTAAAACAATGTGCATACGTCAAGAAACTCAAGTGCATGAGACAAGAAAGTCATGCATTATGCATTTTCCGCGTTGTAAATAGCTCTAGCTTTTGAGTTTCGAACTTCATTGGTCAAGGCAGATGGAAAAGACGGGAACGAGAAAAGTTTGGCTCAAGAAAGTCAAGCGCATGATCTCGAAAAAAATGCGTTTTGCATGAGTAAGAAATGTCTCTACGCCATGAGATTCTTACTCAAGAAATTCATCTGCTTGAGAAAAAAGCAAGGGGGAAAAGGCGGCTCCGGGATCTATGCGGAACTACGCGGATCCATGCGAATACAATTTTATAGAACTGAACTGCCCCAGAAATCTGTTCCCACAAACAAAACAAAAATGTTCTGCCTGTGGGAAAAGAATTCACAGAACAGAACACAATTGTCCCGTTATTTAAGAAATTTCCCCAATAAAAGAACCGGAGTGTTCTGTTTCGGGAACACGATTGGCCTGTTTCGTGACTCGGACTGTTCTGTTTTGGGAACAGGATTGTTCTGTTTTAGCGGAAGAATATTAAGACGAATCCGTGGGGATCTACGGGGATCCCGGATCCGCCTTTTCTCCGTTGGAAAAAAGCTTCACTACGGCATCGTGTTGATATTTCGCGGATAAACCTCTAGTTTGAATTTGATGCCAAACCGATTACCCGAAGTGGAAAAGACATCCTAAACGACGTGTTGATTATCAACAAAGGATATGCTTACAAATGATATTTTAGCTTTGTAGCAATTCAAAGCTGTAGCAAAGCACCTTGATTTCAGCACTATACTGTTTCATTTAATTTTATTTATATTTTATTGGATTCTCGGCACGACCAGCTGACACTGCTACTGGAATTCAAATGAGGTTTGAGAACGGTATTCTGTATGTCCTTTTGTTTTTTGAACAAAGAAGCTTAGAGAGTCCCGAGACGTCTCATTTTGTAGAGAAACGTTTGCTTTGCAACTCAAGACGTTCCGCACACTGCCTGTGCTTTCGTTAAAAAACATAAACACAACAAAATGTCAAAATTTCGTAACGAAATTTTACTCCAATAATAGTATTATCCGGTTTATGTTCTGTTTAATTAGTTCAGTCCGGTTTATAGCGGAAAACAGCACCACCACGAAAATTTCTTGCCGTCTTCTTGATAACTAAATTGATAGAGGTCCGAATTACATTTGAAGAGTAAATACATTTTAGTCATTATTATACATTAGATATATGTTTGACAAAAAAGAGATCAATAAATTACGAGTAGGATTACACTGGCTTCGCTGTTGAAGATGATACATTTTTACTTGGACTGCAAACGGACTTGATAAAATAAACCGCTAGTGCAGGTCCGTCAAAAAATGGTTCAAGTCCGGACTTGGAGTTGCTCATTGCTGCCAACTACTTAAAACGATTTCATTCAACTCCCTGATTCATAGATAATTTTAAACAAAGAATCGAATGAGATACGATAGAGTAAAATCTATTTTTAGAGTATATTGTGGACTTCACTGATTCTGTCAAAAAAAAGAGTACGAAATACACACATGTTGAATTTATACCGATTTTGAGAATTACATCGTGCACCGAAATATTATATGGAGACGAAACAGACCTTGACTGGAGTGTTTGTTGAAGATGAGTCGAAGAAAAACTTGTTTTGCAGGCTACTTATAATCATAAAGTTATGACTAATATAAAA